ACACACACACAGACACACAAATACTTGAATAAGCACAAATCTGCAGAGCAGAAATAACAGCTAGGTATTTGTCTCTTACACATGCCCAAAATCCCCTCCATCCCTCATGTGCAATGCAGCTTTTGTTAAATCAGCTCTTCTTGCTCGCATCGTTAAAACTCCTGGCCAGATTGTAAATCAGGCTTTTTGTGTCTAAACCAATAAACCACTCAACCAATCAATCATCCAAATGATGAATAACTATTCTCACATAGACTTCGGAGTCTGTGGAGTGTCCCTTTAAAAGGCCAAGAAATATACCAGGCCAATTCAATTGGCTGACACGTTGTCTGGCCTGTTTTCTGTTTAAGTGTTTAAAATTCTAAAGCTAAATTATATCAATTTGAAGTTTCACAACATTTAACTATGTCTCCTCCTTCTTGGGATTTACTTTTGTGCTTTAATATCTTAATAGCTTTTTCCGAGGCTTATTTATGCAAAATTAGATCCAGAAGCAACATACAGACCGAAGGAAAGAAGGTAAAAAAAAAAAACATAACCACATGGTATTGATGCAGGCGACCTTTTTCTAGATGAAGCATCAGATTTTTTTACCTCCCTGGAACTAAGCAAAAACCACCTAACAACATCCTTATCCCTTTGCCTTCGACTCTCCATTCTGCATACAGTACCTGCCAAGGTATCTCTCCAGCAATGGCCTCGTTGCCTCCCACAATCCTCTGGTCATTGTTGACTTCTTCTGTGATGGTGGGGAGTGTGGGGTAGAAAGCTCTGTGGGCGTTTTCAGTGACAATGCTCACCTCCCCACTGCTCATCACAACCTCAGCTGGATTTTCAGAGGAGCTTGAAGCCGACCTCACTGAACGTATGTCTACTTCAGGGACCACAGAAATGTTGAACGGATCTGAATCATTCGTAGGGAGGTCGTAGTAATCATATTGCTGTGTTATATTGTCGTCATAGTAGTCATCCTGCAGGGTGACGCTTGAATTGTGTTTTCTTTTAGAGCTGTGTGTCATGTTTGCTGACCGAGGTTTCACGATGAATCTGGTGTTGGTGTTGGAGGTGGAGGGCATGTTCACGCTACCACAGCTGAATTGTTCTGAGGGAGGAAATAAAAAGCCAAAACAAAGAGGGAGATATTCTAGTTTTGTATCTCAAACATAATTAAATAATACAGAAATATTACAGTGTCAGATTTCTTCACACCTGAGGCAGTTTGCTTGCATGACTTTTGCTATTTTGTCAAAGGCTGTGGTTGCAAAAAGTGTCCACTTATTTCTACTCCAAAACAATTCAGAGGAAATTATTGTATTTTCTACTTCACTACATTTATCTGACTGTAACTGTAATTACTACTTACTTACTAATTAAATTATTTGCAAAATATTATGTTTTGTAATAAATTAAACTACCCAACAGTGTATACGATTAGTCAATTAATCGATTAGTTGATTGAAGTACTAATTTTTACAAACCAATAATGAGTCGATTAATGGAGAAAATACTCAACTGGTTAATCCATAATGAAAAAAATAATCATTAGTTGCAGTCCTATACAAAATAGATTGAAATGAGATGACTAAAATCCTGCTATTACATTAACACATCAGTAACAATAATCTGATGATATGATATACAGTAAAATAGTATGACAGTCACAAGGGACATTTCTGCATTGAGTCCTTTTAATTTCAATACTTTAAATATATTTTCCTGATTATACTTACATGCTTTCACTCAGTAATTTGCAATGCAGGACTTGTACTTGTAACAGAGTATTTTTACACTGTGGTATTAGTACTTTTACTTAAGATCTGAAAATCTTAATACTTCTACCTTGAATCCTATGATTTTTTTTGTTTGTTTTTTTTTTTACAGAATTTTTAGTATTTTGAACACTGGAGCACACTGAGCACATGCAGAACCCGGATACACATTTGTCATTTCATAAAGCATCTGTCGGGCCCTAATGGGTCAGTAACTGACTAACTGATTTAGATATATGGGAAATGGTTAGGTTTTAGGTATGCATTTGGTATGTTTAAGCAATAGGTTAGAGATGTGAATGTTTGCTTTAGCTATGTTTTTGTTGTTAAGATTGGTGATGGTTGCATCTGTAGCAGCAAGCATCATTTGCTTTAAACGCTGGTTTTCTGTGTGGTTCTCTAGTCAGAGTGTCCACACTGTCAACAATACCCATAAATTATGTTCTTTATTTGACAGCTATAAACTGCAACACACAGTTTATGAGCCAGTCTGTAATCCCTTTATGGATACCAAAGGGATGAGAAGTGTAACATGATGAGTCCAGCTTTCTGTCTTATTGCTGTATAAAAGACAGCTTGTATATCACTCCTAATCTCTTATCTATGGGCGAGGATGAGAAAGTTTATGTACAGTAGCTGGCACTAGAATTTCATTTGGGCAAATAAGTCACAACTGTCTCAGATGTAGGTGTAGAGGAGGAGACAGGTGTAATTTAGTATCAAAATTTACACAATGGGGTTCCAGTGTTATAGGATTGTTTCCATTTGTGCAGATGTGTGTAGCGTAGTGTTTGGAGTGTAAAACAGAGCATGCCATTTAGGCAATGGTTTACATTTTGTCCCTTAAATAGTGGTATGTTATTCAGGGTAGGTTTAGCACCCTAAAGGGCATATTTTTTTCTACTAGAGGGGCATCCAACAGGGCACTTTTTGGGGCATTCTTTCAAACATGGAGGCATGTTTCCCCACTGATATCACAAGTGCAATTAGGGTTGTGTTGAAAGTAACAAATGAACGTCTAAATATATAAGCAAGACACCCGAACAACCACTTTGCTGAATGCTGTGTACGATTTTATCATTTTATTTTACCTGTTGGTTCACAGGTCCTCTTGTCTTGCCCAAGTTGGTAACCGGCTGCACACTGACACACAGGCAGCTCTGCCTGCATCACACAGAAATGGGAACATCCACCGTTGTTGAACGAACACTGCTTGGACACCTCTGGAAAAGGCAAGAAAACTGAGTGAATCTATTTTGTATGTTATTATATTAGCACTTACACTGATGACATAACAGACACAACATTGTTCAGTAGATACCAGGAAACAAATGAAAACGAATGAGGAACTATCTGTTGAATTAAAGTTCAGAAGGAATGCCTAATATAAGTGTATAGAGTTGCTAATAATTATTTAATGATTACTTAATTAAGGAACAGGAATGACTTGGTAATAAATTCATCGTTAATAAGTACTTCCACTCAGTAGGATGCACCACAAAGAGAGTAAGTAATCTTAAGATAATGATCATGAAATAAGGGACAATTAAGTAATTACTTACTATTATTTCTCACTTTACTTTGGGTGCAGAAAAACAATAACTTATGTTTACGTCATTAGTAATGAATGAGTCGTTACTAGTTTTGTGCCGCCCAATGGCTGGTTCAGAGTTAATTAGGAACGAGTCATGAAGAAATTGGTCAGTATGATTGATACAATGCTATTCATCAACTAATAATTACCTAATGATTAATTAAAATAGGATCTCCCAGTCTGTTCTCTAGAAACTCATCATCATCTACTGTATAGTAGTCCATCAGGAATTATTAGGGAAGTACTTAATAATGATCCATTATCAAGTCATTCCTGAGTTCTTCCTCAGTCAATGCTTAATCAAATAATCATTACCTACTCTATATAATGTGATTTGGAGTAACTCATTAACTAATTCTTCACCAGCAGTCAGTTCCTCATTTGTTCCTTATTTGTTCCCTGGTAACTACTCCAAATTGTGTGTTCCTTATTGTAAAGTTTTACCCACTCACCAATCTCACAGTTCTTGCCGCTGAAGTTTGGTTTGCACCAGCAGACATATGCACTGATTCCATCTTCACACACTCCTCCATTTTGGCAGGGGGGTGGCTTACACTGGTCACCATCTATACAAGTATAAAGCATGCATGGTTTAGAGGTGATGGTGCTTTAAATTAAAAAAATAAAGTCTGTGAGAACTTGTCTTTCACTTGTCTTACCGATGTAGCCGGCCCAGAATTCCATCTGAAAGAGGAATATGTATGTTAATGAGAAATGAGTTCAGCCATTATACCTGGATTATTTGTGTGTGTGTGTGTGT